ATTATGATATGGTTATTCCTTGTGTCCTGAAGTTTGTTCTCCTCTTTGTGGGAAGGAAATTCTATATTGACTTTCTTACTGAACAGCTTCTTTCACAGAGTATATGAAGATAAGTCCAGATATAATTTGTTCTGAAGCCCTGTAATGACTCATAGCTTGAGTTCTTTCTGTGTAAGCCCCAGTGTAGACATTCATGTTCCAGAATGTGTCATATCTTGATTTAGTTTAAGCCAGCTAAAAATGACTTAAATCAATATAATGCAGCGTTAAAGTTAGGACTGTTTACACAGAGTCTTAAAATATCAGTAGTATTTACACTGAAATTTCATGCAAACTGTATAAATAAGATATCATTTTGAATCTTTACAACCAGTAAAAACTTCCACTGCACTGTCCCATTTCCCAGTCTGTCTCAAACCTATTGCACCTCAAACTGTTCCTGTTACATTTAGGAGTTGCAGGGACACATTTGAACATGATGTGAGAAGACTTTCCTCTCAGGAAACCTTTTGTGCCTGGGAGAGGGCACTCTGAAGGTGGTGCTCCTTCACGGTTTTTTTGAGCTGTGCAGCTTCCTTTGCAAGGATGAGGGGGAGGTTCTCCTCCTGTTTTCTTTTGGACACAAATGCTGTGACTGAATATCCCCTTAATTAAGTATAGGTATTTTCACTCTGTTTTGAAGCATATGTAATCTTCCATACCTGTCTGAGATGGGTATAAAACTTTTCTATTCTGATTTGCTTGCCATGTGTTTTGTGTAATATTAATTCTTCATAGGTGTTACTGAATCCACTCAAAACCAGACACTAGGCAATGGGTTGAAAAAAGGTGGTTCATGGCAGTGAAAGTTTTCTGTTTTGTTGCTCACATTATTTGTTTCATTAGGAATTGAGAAATAGAGAAGTTTTTATAGAGGAGGGAAATTAAATTATTGCTGGGAATGGAGAAATATCCTGTCCAAAAAAAAAAAATCAGGCAGTTTAAAGCAATGACAGAATAAGAAAATATCTTTATAAAACGTTCCTAAATTGTGATTTATTCCCTATACATGCTATACAGCATGGCTTCAATTAATCCATTTTGCACAGGTGGAAACTATATCTCCAAAAGCTATATGGTGGTTGATGCAGACAAAGAATTTTTCTGTGTGATAGATGAATGTTGTTCAGGAAAGAAAACATAATACTTTTTAAAACATTATGGTTGAGTTCTGTATCAATGTACTTCACTGAGTATCCCAGAAGTCTTTATCACAATTAGAATATCAAACACATTTTAATTTATATTCCCTAGGTGATAAGAGAAATATGAGAAATAGATGTGCACGTTTTATGTCACATTCAGACTATGCCAACAAATTGTATGATTTATTGTCTTAGTAGGAACAATTGAGTCACTTCCATAAAATCCCAAGTATAAATCTAATCAAAACTTCTACAATGTGGTATGTTGATTTAATCTATTTGGGAATCAGATTCTTTTTGGCATGGAACCATCATGAAACAAGAAAATAGCCCTGAATGAGGTACTGAAAATTTACATCCTTTAGGAAATTCTACATAGCTAGATGAACCTGCAGAATGTTGATTTTTTTTTTTTAAATTTATTTTTCATTGCATTATGCAATGGGAAAGAGAATCCAAATAATTCAGTCTTAGCCATCACTCATCAGGGAACAGTAATACCATGAATTTTTCAAATTTTCACATTTGTAATGTGAAATAAATTGACCTTGCTGCTTCTGTGAGGGATAAGAAGGATGGTGAAAATAAGGCTTTATTTAAATACAATATGGTGAGAGATGAGAGTTTGACTTTTCTTGAATGTGTCATCTTTGTTGTGGAAACAGCAACATCACATTAGAGTATTTTAAAAAGAAAATGGAATGTAGTCATATGTACACTGACAAACTACCAGAAATCAAAACCAAACCAGAATTTGAAGTTAGAGTGAAAAATTAATTTCAAGTTTTGAGGCAGTAACAGGCCTGTTGTTGAACTACAGTAGAATGTTTTAGCAACAAAACACTGTGCTACGAGTAGATGAAAGGTCAGTCTTTCTTCAGTAGCCATTGTATTGTACGATCATGATCAGGAAGTAGTATACTGTGATGTTAGAGGCAAGATGAGAAACAAATAAACCAATGCTTACTTCAGCACATTCTCAAAACACTCCATGCCTTTGAAATCTGGGATTCGATGGTCTTCACAGATCCCTTCCAACCACAAAGATTCTCAGTAATTCTCAAAAACAAAATGAAAGTTGTTCAGTAATGAATCATAATGTGTAATTGTATTTATACTCCAGGCAGTTCCTCACTGGCAATTACAATTTTTGTTTAACAATTGGATTATTGATTAGTGCTGTTATTACTTTTATTATGAAAACATCTGTATGAGGTTGTTACCATTGTTATATGGATTTTATACATAGTTCTGTCTGTTGTTTACACATACCAAGTATACAATGAATTAGTGTTTTTACAGGTAGAAAACATAGGTCAAAAGATAAAATCCTTATGCTCAGTGCTTTTCTAAGCATAATACCCATTTCCACCCTTGGTGACCCATTTGGAACATGTGGGTGAATTAGAAACAGAACCTCTGCAGTCAGAGTCACTCTGTCACCAGTTCCTGTTCCAACATCCCTTTCCCTGAACTGTGTTTGAGAGCAGAAGAGGAATTGACTGATGGTAGTTACCAGCATCCTCATGGCACATGGGTGTATGAGCTCTCAGTAGTTGTTGAAAAACCTCATCTAACTGCTGGTAAAGTTGGATTAATATTCAACGCTAATTGATTCTGTGATCTATTAAAAAACAGAAAACAGATTAAGAAATTTTTTTAGTGAAGAATTACCTTAACAGTTTACTACGAGGTGGTTGTAACATCTGTAATTATAGAATAATCTTCACTGCCTCTGCACAAAAAGGAAAAGTATGTGATCTAGTTTGCAGACTGAAATGCAGTCTGATCCCTTCATCTACTGTTGCCAAAGGTAGTTCACGTCATCCTTGGCAAGTATAAACTACTAATGGCAGGCAAAATGTTGGAGGTTAATTTAAAATCTAGTAATTTGTAATAATAATTCCTAAGATGATATATACCTTCTGTTTTTAGGCCAAATTCTGATCATGCAGGAGAAAAATCTCTTTCTACAAGGAAGTTTTCAAACGATCCTGCTGATTAAGTTTCAGAACAGCTGTGATTTTTTTTAGTTTTCCCTTACATAATAGTAAATTAAGCTGTGGTATAATCTGTGACTGTGAATGTGTCTGATGGGTTTTTCTCTCTTGTGTCTATTTCTGTCCCCTGATTATTCTCATTTATTATGGAAGATGAATAATATATCAGTGGTGTAGGTGTATATATAAAGCAGGGGTTTTTTTCCTGCTTCAAAGAATGGACAGTTTTTTTCCCTTTTATATTCTATTTCCTTTATGTTGTATTATTATATTTTTTGTATAAAATTCAGTTTTTCTATTTATATTTTTATATTTGAAAAAGAATGTATTTTTAACATCTGTGCCCAAATAGAAATTCTTCCTGATGATAAGAGACTACTAGACCCCTCCAGTTAAGTTTTAAATTATGATTTTGCTCTTCTAGGTACCACAGCTAATCTATCTTATATACATAGAAAGCAGTCAGCAGAGACAATTTACAGTTAATTAATAAACCCACTGGATCACAATAAGCTAATAGAGGCAATTGATAATGTGTCTTTGGGATAGAAAATCACTCTTAGGAGAAAAAAAGATAGAAGTGTTCAAAACATTTATTTTAAATCCATACTGCATATTAACTAGATACATCCATTTTAGTAATTCAGAAGTATTATATGTGTAGCTGATATGATACATAGGAGAAACTGCAAATATTACAATAGCTCAGATTAAGGAATGTTACTATATTTTCATCTCTGAGTTTTCCTTCACACATTGCCTCTGAACACAGAAGAAATGAACCCTCTGGTATTCAAGTGATTTTGTATTTTCTGTGGAAATATTTGATGTTTGGCATGAACTTGTCAAATATGTCTGTGATCTGTTGAGTAGTTAGAGATCACCCTGTTTACTGCCAGATATTTTTTTGCTTCAGAGGAGAAATTACTTTTCCAGGTATTTGAATAGCTACATTGTACAAAATTAGCATAGTACATACCTGCCTTAGAATTTTGTTTTCTTCAGCAAAGTAACTACTACTATAAAGTAGTAGGTCCTATAAGTACTATAAAGTAGCTCCAGATTAACAAAATAAATAAGTAACCATTAATGACTGTCACACATATATAAAACTGCAGTGGAATCTGTACGATGAAAAACTTGTCCTAGGTGGAAAAAGAAAAAAAATACTGTTCGGATCTGCATCTAGTAGGGAAGATTTATGTATGTCATGGTGATGATACCCAGCATTTAATTCCTGTCAGGAAGTATCTCTATTGTCAGAGAGAGTTTGTGCACAGAGAATTTCCAAGTTCCCAAGTGCTCCCTAGCATTGTATATTTGGCCTTGAATGCAGAGCTCCTGGCAAGTGCTATAAAATGCTATAAACATTAGAAAAACCCAACCCATAATAAAATAACCAGCTGCATTTCGATGTATGCAGTTCAGAAAAGGATAATGATTTTCCTTTGTCATTGAGTTCTAATGTGAATTGGCAAGTATTTGTCTGGTAAATGGGATAATGACTGTAGCATAGACTATGCACCTTGTTGTGTCTCAAGAACAGGTTTCAAATTATTATTAAAATTACTGTTAAGAGAAGCAGAACAGAATATAATTCCAAGTCAAAACCACATGAATTTGCTTTCATTTTCTTTGTTTATGGACGGTATGTTTTAGGTGGTCTGCCTAAGAAATTTCAACTGCTTGCGCTTTAGAGGTGTTTTTGTTTCATATTTATTAACAAGATTTTTATGTTCATTCTAAAGCTCATGCTCTGTCAGTATGAGATACACCACAACATGAAATGATTTTTTTCCCCCATCAACATGCACAGGTTGCCAGAAAAAAAGGAATGTGCAATGGAGATTGTTAATATGGACATATCCTAAGACACTGTAACTTTCTGGAAAATAAATACACTTCACTTTGACATGAAGGACAATTAACAGTGCCGTGAATTACTGAGCACAGGTAAACTAAAAATTATTTTCCTTCCACTCTTTCATTCATTAATACTGTGTGTCTATTAAGGCCTACTATTCTCTTCTTCCCAAACTTTGTTCTTACCTGTTCTTGCTTTTCAAATATTCACACAAGGTTTTATAAGAAAAAAAGTGTATAAATGGGTGGTTGGTTATCAGTGTTTATGACAGATCTCAAAATGACTTTTAAGTTTGAAACTCTAGGTTCTCCACTGATAGCAGATGCAAATTATAGGGAATGAATTTATTGTGACTCATCTGTGTCAGTCTTGTAGTCATTTGTTTGTGCTTAATGGATAAAGTAGAGCTAAGCGTTAATCATTAACAGTCAGAGAAGTCTGTGTGCATTCCCAGGGTTTTGGGGTGCAATAAACACGGAATTTTTTATTAAACCATTAGTGTGTGCTGACAGGAGCACAGTCCTGTATTTTGTATTTGTACAGAGGAATACTGAATAATGAGATACATTTAGGGTACAGAACATTTTTCAATCTGATTTTTCACTTTTTGCCTTTTTTTGTGCAGTCGTGATTGTGAAAAGGGAATTCTGATGGCTACTGGCAGTGAAATGAGAATTTTACATATGCATTTTTCATATAGATAAATAAATTTTGAAACATTTTGGAGGTTAAGAATCAGTTTGTTTTTCCTTGTACTAGCACTTTTTGAGACTTTATCCTACATGCAATTAGGCTATTATGTGAGAATTATTTTGCATTTTGAGTTCCATCCATCCAGATCTTAAAAAACTCTTTAAAGATAAAAAAAAGCCAACCCTAACAAAATTAGAAATCATGGTATTATAAGAATATCAGGATTTTTTTTCAGTTATCTTTTTTTCCTCGCAAAGAGTGACAGTCTGTAAAAATCAAGAACATTGTTTTCTTCTGAAGAATAATTTGGGGTTTTTTAGTATTTTCAAAAGTATAGAAAACCATTTTATTGAAGAGCAGTTCTTAGTATGCTTTATAGTAGAATGTTACTATCATGTGGAATAACCCTACTAGAAATTACTGGGCAGTGGTGACTGTCATCTTTTGGAGACTGCTGAGACATGCTTGAAGAAAGTTTTTGGTTTGTTGGTGGAATACAATTGGAGAACTTGTAATGCTGGTGATGAGTTTAATTAGAATTCATTTTCATTGGTTGATACTAATTTAAAGCCAAAATTAAAAAAAAAGATAGTAAATTTTCAAAATAAATGTGAAAGCATCATGGATACAAACCTGTCTGAATAGATATTGAGTCCTCTGTTCTCTTCCCTGTAGAGAAAAAAAATAATTAAAACTAACATATCACTGTAGGTATTTGTTCTATTGCTGCCACTTGTCTGTAAGGAGTCCTGTCTGAAATCTGTATGCCACCTGCAGGGCAGAATTCTGCTCATTTATTTTTGTATGTCTTAGAGCTTCAGGTTTTTGTTGTTTGGTGTGTATTTTTGGTTGCTTCGTTGGTTCTGGTTTTCCTGTTTTGGTGGAGTTATTTTGTGCGTGTGTGTTTGTTTTTTAACAGTAATATTTGCTGAATAGTCATACCAGCAGCTTTTTTGGCCACTACATAAAATTAATCAAATCGTATGTCTGGATATAGGTAGTACCAATGTCAGTCTTATATTTACAGACATATTTTTTTAAGATACATTCTGGGATTGTTTTTTTGCACTGCAGAAGAGAATTGTTGTGTATGGATTAAAATTAACATTCTACAAGCCTCTGCTTGAAATATATAGGTTTTTATAATGCTTGAGAAAGCACAAATGGCATACATGGTGTTTATATTATCTAATTACCCATACTGTTATCTTCTGTATAAAATTAAGACTTGTGAACTAGGGTTGCATGGTGAGGTTTTGGTAGTTGAAGGGTTAAAGAGATGGTTTCTGTGGGAAGCTGCCAGAGATTCCCTCTGTGTCTAATGGAGCTGATGCCATCAGGCTCCAGGATGGACCCACCACTAACCCCCCAGCCGTGGTGGTGGTGCCTCTGAGATACGTTTTAAGAAAGGGATAAGAACCCCACCCGCACAATAGGCAGCAGCAGTGACAAGAGAGAATACATGAAGGAAAGAGCTCAGTAGATCCGAATTATTTTGTGTTTTGGGGTCAGTGAAGAATGAGGAGGAGGAGGTGCTCCAGGCACCAGAGCAGAGATTTCTCTGCAGCCTGTGGTGGAGCAGATCCACCTGTCCAGCTGAGGAGGGGAGTGATAGCAAGGTTTCAGGGACAGCTGGTATCCAGCCAGGGTTAACCCACTGTAGCTTGCCATGATAGTGCAGAGATGTATTACAGCAGTAATCAATTTATTTTCCCTCTCCATCTCATATGGTAGGTGTGCAGGTTCTCCAGGATCAACAGAACTCATTATCTAATATTGGACATAAATTGCACAAGCCTAGAATATTTAAAATACAGCGCACTAAATACACTTGTTATCATATTGCCATTTTTTTCATGGGTGGCTTAGCTTTAAATAATGTCTGTGTTTAAACATATTATTGTAATGGAAGCAGAAATTGGAATTTATGACAAATTTTAATGCAAAAAAATTCGGTACGTTATATGTACTTTAGCAACAAGTTCTTTATAAAAGTCTTACAGCAAAAAGTAACTTTATCATCTTCAGCTGGTGTAACTTTAAAATTTTCCTATCTTTTGGACAGCAGTGGGCTTATGTAAAACTAATCTGCTTTCTGAATGACTCGGCCCATCTACAATTTATTTACAACGGAGAAAATATTTTCAACTAATTCTCAGAAAACCCTTAGGCTGAGCTGAACCTTCCATCACTTAGGAGATAACTAGAAGTGCCTTAGTAATTGTGTTATTATGGGTCAAATTCCAGAATGCATCTCAAAGTCTTAGGCAACTAACCTTTTTTGAGGGAAGATAAGGCAAACATTTCAAATAATGGCTGTTATAAACCATCAAAGGATCACGAATAAATAACATTTATTTTCAAAATTTCATACTCATGCTGCATAATGAATTGGATCTGATCAACCTTGGCCCTCTTACAGTTTGCCATCTGCATCAGCAAAATTCCCTTGGAGTTTTCCCTAGGAAAAGGATGACAACCAAAGCACTGTCAGAAAAGCAGATACAATGCTAGAATGTTCTCCAGGTTTATGTACAAAGCAGCAATTGAAAATAATGGCTCAGTACTTTGCAACTTTGTGATTTTGTAATCCAGATTGCATAGTCCTCAAAATCCTCTGATGTGAAGTGTGAAAAATGTTGTCAATAATTAGGCTTTAATGTGCTCCAGAGGATCAGATTCACCGTGAATGTACTAGGCTTAATGATTGATGCTTGAAAAATCTGAAATTGTAGCCTTGCAATCATAGATTCATATATCCTTAACTTCTTGGAAAATACTCCTTCCTGCATAAGACGTTCTAACTGAATTAATTTCAAAGCAACAGCTATTTTAGTAACAGCTTCTATTCTTAGGTGAGAAATGTTAAAAACTTCTGTATCAGTGGTTACTGGTACTCTTTAACTTCTCATACTTAGAAGCAGGAAGAAACTAATTACTGTGTTGACCAAAGGAGGAGGGCAAAAATAGCATAAGTACAGAAGTCCAAATGTCAAAAGCAAAAAGCTAAAGCAAACACATTTTAAAATATTTGAAACACTTTTGTGTCACCTTATGTGACATTCAAGAGGAATGTTATTCCAGAATGTGAAGAACTGGCTGAAAGTGCTCAGTTGGTTCTCAAGGAACTGACCTGCCATCAGCAGGTGAAGGTATTTTGGAAGATAGTATAAATTCTTGCAGCCAGTAATGATGACACCTGCTTGTTACTGTTCATCTGCAGAAAGGTCAATCTGCTTTCTACTCTGGGGCTGGCCCACTGCTTCTGCTGGCACATTTCACTGATGTGATTGTGGGATTATGTTCTCTTGAGCTCTTGCTTAATAACATTTGAGAACAGTAGAACTTTATCCTGGACCTCAAGACATCCTATATTTCTGGTTAAAACTTTTCCCATGGGTTTTCTTCTTTTTCATAGATCTCATTTGCCACTGAATCCATGTCTTTCAATACTGTTTGAAAATCTCTAGAAAACTTGGACTGTATTTTAATTATAATGAAATGTAAAAGCAGAGGAAACCTGAAATGTTCCAGGGTATTGGATTTTTAACTTCATATAATTTTAAATTAAAAATTGAACTATAATAGTTGTATTTAAAAGACAACAGAAATGCCTCTCAATATGTAAATGTACGTTGGATTATAAGATGTCCTGTAAATACTAAAATTAATTATTCAGGAAGAAAATATTTAGAGAAATGGAAATATTATAAGCATTAGTATTTTACATCCATCTTATTTTCTTTATATTGCTTTTTTAATGTAGTCCAAGAGGAAATTTTCACAAGTGAAATTGGAGCAGAATTCCAGTTGAAATACATGAGATTGATGTTTTGCATTTCCCACAGTGTCTAAAATATTTAGGGTAAATATGTGGGTATTGTGTGTCCCCTAAGGCATATGAGGTTTTTGGCCAGCTCTGCTTCTGATTGAAGGTGTGGACTGCATTGCCTGGACTGTACTGTGCACTACATTGCCTACGTTGTGACGATAACTTTGTGACTCAAATGACCATTCCTCTTCACTCTTCTTGTTGCCATTCCAGGTAGATTTCACATGAAGCTACATCATTATACTGCTAATCAAACATTGTACTTGGAACCTCCTACAGTCTAAACTCCCTGTGGAAGGACATGACACTGTTATTATGGAAGACTCCTCTCAAGTTTCCATTTATCAGGAAACAAATAACATTGCTTAGGAAAATGATCAGTACTGTTAAAGCTACTGAATGCACTGATACAAGTTTAGAACTTTTACAGTTCTTAATAATACCTCATTTCTTTAATTCACAACTCCCTCACCACACTTCAAAAAACCAAACCAGACTGATAATAAGATAACCAGCCATGTGTTTCAACCTAGATATGATAACAGGCACTGTCTTGGAATATAG